ATGGGTGGAGACTCTAAAGGTGATTAATAAAGTCAGCATAAAATTTAAATTCACAATATCTGTTTAGACAATACTTGTTATAGTTCTTACTGTGAATTATTCATCCATGTATATGATCCTTTTTTTTAATGGAAATAATTTACCTTGTAATGTTTCATCAAAAATGTCATAACTCAGCCTTCATAACTCCACATCAGCCAAGAAACTTCAACCTTCTCTCAGGTGGCATATGCAACACTTAGCCAATCATTTAGTCCTCTTACTGCAAGTTTGCATTCATTTTGAGTACAACGCACACATCTCAAATTCCAATCGGCAACTGATAGATATGCTCAAGTCCCTGCCCTACAATAATTTTTTTTTTCTCTCTTTTTTGATAATCCGTTGTCACAATATGGGGGAAAAGCATTTGTCACTACTTCGGTTTCATCATGATATTAATCATGCAAACTCAGTGGTTTTTCGAAGCCCTCCAAGAACATTCTGCAATCCCATAACAACAGGCTAAAACCAATCAGCAGACTCATTAAATGAATCCTAATGCATGCCTCTAACCCTTTCTGTCTCCTTTTTTCTCATTAGAGCACTTTAGCTGAGTCATCTGATATCCCAGTCTGGCTCATTGCCACTAAGGGTCATAATGGAGTGGTGGGAATGGTGAACTGCCTCAGACAGGAGCCCGGAGGCAACCGTATACGGTCCGTCCAATTCCTGTGCAATTAGTGTTCCACATATGCTACTGTACTTTTATATTATGTTTTTGATGTTACAATTATGCAATTGTTAGGTATTGAATGTTTTGTAGTATTCATGTACATGGTCTTTTTTTTNTTTTTTTTCTCCTCTCTAATAGGTGTGCATTTGTTTCTAATCTAAGTAAGGATGCTGAAGTCCCCTCACTTGTTCCTACCCAAAAGGAAATGAAGGCATTACTAAAGAAGGATCTGGTCATGAACGTGTATCGTGACGGACAGTGGGGTGTTTTTAGACACCAGTTGTTAACACAAGGTAAAAAAGGAAGTCATATAAGACTTTCAGTGACATGCTGACTGATCTGTCTTTGATTGGATAAAGTCTTTTGAGCGTGTTGTGATCGTCTTCTGTTCTGTGCATTCATGTTTAGATCTTAGCGAGGAGTTGACAGAGCAGGCCTACGTCAATGTCCTGACTCGCGGTGATCTTTCATCGCTGAGATGGATCGCTTCCCCGCTGCGTCATTTTATCCCATCCAATCCCAACGTGCAGCTCTGCCGTGTTTACTACTCCTCCCTCAACTTCAGAGACATCATGCTGGCCACTGGCAAACTGCCTCCAGATGCCATCCCTGGTTTGTACCCCATCCTGTTTTGTGAAATCTCGCACCCTAGCTTACCCTATAAAAAGACTTTGGAAAGAGACTCTTCTCGTTTTCTCCGTGCAGGAGACATAGCGCTGCAGCAATGCATGCTGGGAATGGAGTTTTCAGGGCGAGACCCCAGTGGACGACGTGTAATGGGTTTGCTGCCAGCGAAAGGTCTAGCCACATGTGTGGATGCAGACAAGCACTTCCTTTGGGATGTTCCATCTAGCTGGTGAGAACCTCAGCACCTCTGAATCTGAATGATACGTCTTCCTCCAAAACTCTCAATGCTAAGTGAAGCTGTGTTTATGTGCAGGACACTGGAGCAGGCCGCCTCTGTTCCAGTGGTGTACGCTACCGCATATTATTCGCTAGTGGTGCGAGGGCGTCTGAGGCCTGGAGAAAGTGTGCTGATCCATTCAGGCTCTGGAGGGGTGGGACAGGCCGCTATTGCTATTGCACTTAGTATGCGCTGCCGAGTCTTCACAACTGTCGGTAAATGACACTTTTGCTTCCTTAAGGATTAAAAAAGATGTGTTTTGTAATTAATGAACACTGGTAGACTTAAAGCTCTTTGCTAGTAAATTAACAGCTACACAAAAAGATGGAAATGTGTTAAATGAAGACCTAATTTTGGTTTCAAATTGTCAGTAAAAAAACTAAATTTGGTATATCACTAATTGAAACGCGTCTACAACACAGTCAATGAATAACTACAACACAAAGAATTCAACAAAGGGCAGGTATACTCATTGAAATTTCATGTTTTAATATATAAAATCTTTCATTTTCTTGCATGTGACACTTGTCATTTTGTTGACTAAATTAGATGCTATTGTAGTCCGAGTGAAATTGGCTATAATCAATGAATGCTGTGCAATATTGTAAATTGTGTACATTTAGTGGAGATTTTCATCAAAAGACAGAAGCTATGACTAAAACACCTGCTTAAAAATGAACACTGCTGCCATGTATCTTATTTTGATTCACAGGTTCTGGAGAGAAGAAGGCGTACCTGCAGGAAAGATTCCCACAGCTTACAGCGGAATCTTTCGCTAATTCTAGAGACGCCTCCTTTGAACCTCATGTAATGCTCCAGACTCAAGGCAAAGGTGAATAGACTGCATTACAATGACTCTGAATACACAACAGCATTGCGTCTAAATTGCTGTGGATTGAGGTATTAAACCACCATATGTATGTGTGTTTTTTCAGGAGTTGATTTGGTACTAAACTCCCTAGCTGAAGAGAAGCTGCAGGCCAGCTTGCGTTGTTTGGCCAGACATGGGCGTTTCCTGGAGATCGGCAAATATGACCTTTCTAACAACACACCACTAGGTGCGTCCCAGATGTACAACAAATTCTGAATCAATCAAAAATCATCTTAGATCTATTATTCTCTTACTTTTACACTTCCATGCGTTAAATGTAATTGTCCAATTGTTCTTGGTTCAGGTATGGCTCTGTTCCTAAAGAACGTGGCCTTCCACGGCATACTGCTGGATGCTTTGTTTGAGGAGGGGAACAGGGAATGGGAGGAGGTATCTGAGCTTCTGAAGAAGGGAATTGCTAGTGGTGTCGTACAGCCATTACGTACCACTGTCTTTGAGAGGAACCAGGTGGAGGATGCCTTCCGCTACATGGCTCAGGGCAAACACATCGGCAAAGTCCTGCTGCAGGTAAGGGAGGTGGTTGATTTTAATGAACCTGCATAAAAAAATGAAATATTGGATGGTAGATTTCTCATCCTTTACTGTGCTAATTGCTTCATCTCTCAGGTACGTTCAGAGGAGACGAGCAGCACTGTTCCTGCAGCCTCTGCTCTTTCTCTTCCCGCTATCTGCCGTACCTTCTTCCCTGCCTCTCTCTCATACATCATCACGGGAGGTCTGGGTGGTTTCGGCTTGGAGTTGGCCCAATGGCTCACTGAGAGAGGTGCTCGTAAACTGGTGCTGACATCACGTTCTGGCATCCGCAATGGTAAATATGCACTAGGATGTGATCAGTTTTCATATCAGCGTTGGTCAGTGTTGTTATTTAAATGTAACTGACGTTATAGGTAAATCTTATTTATGTAATATTTATATTTGATTTGATTTATTTAGTTTCCTAGGCAATAAGAAGTATAAATTAAAGCAGAAATATTAAAACATAAGAAATGAATAAAAAAGCAAAAGCACATAAATTAGTAAAATTATAAAATATCTTTTTGATTAGTTGAAATAAAACTGAAATAAAATAATTAAAAAAATTAGATAAACTTTAACATTTTGAACATTTTAAAACAATGCCTTTGCAATTAACTGAAATAAAATAAGTTTGTTGAAGTGCTAAAATTACTAAAAACTGAAAAATATATAATACTGAAATGAATAAAAATTCAATCTAAATAGAAAAATAAAAATAATAAAATTGACAAAAGTACTAAAAATAATAAAATATTTTCATTAAATGTAAAATAAAATACAGCTAAAATAAAATATGAACATTAGATTAAAAATTAAATTCAAAATATTAATAAATACTGTAATGGTATTTAAATAATACTAAAGTAACACTGATGTTGGTCAGGGCAACACACTAAAACGTTTGTTGTCTTGACAGGTTATCAAGCCAAGCGTGTTCGGGAGTGGCAGGCCATGGGCATCCAGATCCTCGTGTCCACTAGTGATGTCAGCTCAATGGCAGGGACGAAGCGTCTCATCAGTGAGGCCTGCCGCTTGGGTCAAGTTGGTGGCATCTTCCACCTTGCCATGGTAATATTCAGTTGTTGCTTTCAGTTCACTTTCTTTGTAGTCAAATTAAGGACAAATGCATAACTGATGTTTTTCTCTATCAACTAGGTCCTCAAAGACGGCATGCTGGAGAATCTGACCCCACAGCACTT